AGATCATATTCTGAATTTTTTAAACAGCTTTCCAATTCAATTTCAGATTTTTTTTGTAGTGTTTTTGTACTGTTACTATTGTTTTCTGTTCGTTTATTTATTTGGCATGATATCTTTATCATGTTATAACAAGGATAGGGATAAATACGCCGACAACCAATAACGGGATCCAAGTTAGGTAAACTCATTGGCGAGGACAATAAATAACGGGATTCAAGTTAGGTTAACTCATTGACGAGGACAATAAATAACGGGATTCAAGTTAGGTTAACTCATTGGCGAGGACAATAAATAACGGGATCCAAGTTAGGTTAACTCATTGGCGAGGACAATAAATAAGGTGTTGTTAGGTTAACTCATTGGCGAGGACAATAAATAACGGGATCCAAGTTAGGTTAACTCATTGGCGAGGACAATAAATAAGGTGTTGTTAGGTTAACTCATTGGCGAGGACAATAAATAACGGAATCCAAGTTAGGTTAACTCATTGGCGAGGACAATAAATAAGGTGTTGTTAGGTTAACTCATGGGCGAGGACAATAAATAACGGGATCCAAGTTAGGTTAACTCATTGACGAGGACAATAAATAAGGTGTTGTTAGGTTAACTCATTGGCGAGGACAATAAATAACGGGATCCAAGTTAGGTTAACTCATTGGCGAGGACAATAAATAAGGTGTTGTTAGGTTAACTCATTGGCGATGACAATAAATAACGGGATCCAAGTTAGGTTAACTCATTGGCGAGGACAATAAATAACGGGATCCAAGTGAGGCTAACTCATTGGCGAGGTGGCGAGGACAATAAATAACGGGATCCAAGTTAGGTTAACTCATTGGCGAGGACAATAAATAACGGGATCCAAGTGAGGCTAACTCATTGGCGAGGACAATAAATAACGGGATCCAAGTTAGGTTAACTCATTGGCGAGGACAATAAATAACGGGATCCAAGTGAGGCTAACTCATTGGCGAGGACAATAAATAACGGGATCCAAGTTAGGTTAACTCATTGGCGAGGACAATAAATAACGGGATCCAAGTTAGGTTAACTCATTGGCGAGGACAATAAATAACGTGATCCAAGTTAGGTTAACTCATTGGCGAGCACAATAAATAACGGGATCCAAGTTAGGTTAACTCATTGGCGAGGATAATAAATAAGGTGTTGTCTCTTGAATATCTACAGTATCCAGAAAGTGTAAGTTGTTCAGAGTGCGTATTCAGTAAGTGAAATGAAAATCCGAATCTCACTGAAAAGGAAAATAACACTTTACAAATTCGGCGCGAAGCGCTTTCCCGGATTGACCTTCATCAGAAACTCCCAAACCCCAAAAAACTGGAGGCCAAAACTTCTTGAATATGTGTGGACCTTACGACCAAACCATAAAAAGAATAGCGAAATCTATTTAAGGTCATTTCTGTCGGAGTGAGTTGGAATTTTAGTTTCTCAATTATTTCTTATTTTATCAACAGTGATTTTAAGAAAGGTAAATATGCATTTAACCACTGCCATGTATGAATAAAGAACTGAGAGGGGCCATATATAGAAAACGAATGCTTTATTCACAATAAACTAAAAACCGGAGTGACAAAAATTGGGAGAAATTTAGAAAACAAAGAAATTTGGTAACTAAGACAAAGGGAAAATCAATAAAAGTACACTTTTTAGAACGTTGCTCTGGTGGGTCAAAATCATGCGAGTTTTGGAAAACAGTCAAACCATTTTACTCAAAAAGGGAAACTGTGGAGAACAAAAAATCTTATTGTGTGAAAATGACAAAATTGTAAATAGTCAAAATGAAGTTTCAAATGTTTTTAATAATTTTTTTCCACAGCAGCAGACAAAATTGGAGCAGATGTGGTATATGACCCCTCAAATCACCCAAGTATAAAAGAAATTTTGAGTAACAGGAAGCATGTTTCCGACTTTGAATTTAAGAAAGTATCTAACGAAAATGTCAATAAAATCTTGAATAAAATAAACATCAAGAAGGCTACAGGAGCTGATGTAATTCCATCAAAAATAGTAAAAAATTGTAAATCTTATATTGCACCACAGCTGACAACTCTTGTAAATTTGTCAATTGAAAATAACTGTTTCCCTGATAAACTTAAAGAAGCCCAAGTGACCCCCCTTCATAAAAAGAGTGACCCATTATTAAAAACAGACTATAGACCAGTTAGTGTCTTACCCATATTTTCTAAAATCTTTGAAAAAATATATGAAATTCAACTAACTGAATACTTTGATAAAATATTTAATCCTTTTTTGTGTGCATTTAGACGTGGACATGGATGTCAGACTACACTTCTCAGAGTGTTAGAAGATTGGCGTGAAGCTCTTGATGAAAACAGTACATTGCAGCGGTATTAATGGATCTTTTTAAGGCTTTTGACTGCCTTCCTCACAATATCTTGCTAGATAAATTATCAGCATATGGTGTATCCCCCCATGCAGTTGCTCTTTTAAAGTCCTATTTATCTAATCGTAAACAACAAATTAAAGTCAACAATGTTCTTAGTGGTTGGGCTGATATCCATAAAGGCGTACCACAAGGTTCTATATTAGGGCCATTGTTGGTTTACATATTCATAAATGATATTTTTCTTTTTGTTAAAAATGGTAGTTTATATAACTATGCAGATGACAATACTTTGTCTTTCTGTACTCCAGATTTTGATTTATTAATTTCAACTTTGGAATCTGAATCAAAAATACTTATTGAGTGGTTCCGGGTGAATAAAATGCAAGCACATCCCGACAAGTTTCAAGTGTTGGCTGTTTGCAAGAAGACCTTTGAACAAAACCCATCTATACATATTCAAAACTCGAACCTTACATGTGAAAAAAAACAGTAAAATTATTAGGCATTGAAATTGACTATCAGTTAAATTTTGATGTTCATATCAGCTCAATCTGTAGGAGGGCATCATAGCAATTAAATGTTTTAAAACTTTTGGGCTCAGTTTTGGATAGACTTAGTAAACTTACTATTTTTCATACATTTATTCTGAGTAATTTTAATTTTTGTCCTTTGGCATGGCATTTTTGCACTGAGACAAATTCCAAAAAAATAGAAAAGGTGCAGCAAAGAGCACTCCGTTTTGTATATGAGGATTTTACCAGCTCCTACGAGGACCTCTTACTTAAAGCTAAGGTGCCCTTTTAAGATTATAAACAATATAGCTCCTGTGTGCTTACAAAATTTGGTGAGTGTCAAAAAATCTAAGTATTCTTTCAGGTATGTAAATATTCTGGATGTTCCACAGGTAAAGTCAACCCGTTACGGTAAAAAATCTTTCAAATTTGCTGCCGCTACTTTATGGAACAGCCTTCCAAACCATTTCAGGACTGACAATAGTTTTTCACATTTTAAAAGTCTTGTTCAGTCCTTGAGCGGTTTGGAATGTCGCTGTTCTGCTTGCAGATAATTCTTGAGATGTTTATTATTTATGTTGCTTTTGGTTGCTCTGGTCTAGCATGTTTTATTTCATTTTAAATTTGTTGCTTAATTTTTATGTATGTGAGATTTAACTTTGTATTAAAGGTTGTTTTATATGTCAAATTAGACTGTTTTTATGTCATGTATATGTTTTTATATTCGGTCAAAAGCTCCTTAGAGCTTGTGTTATGTCTTTTAACTTATGCCGAATCAAAGTAAAGTTTTCTTATCGTATCTTATCTTATTATTTAAGTATCGAAACAGTGACTACTAAGCTGGTGACACTATCGGGGACTAGCAGTCAGGAACGCTCTTGCCAAAAACTTTAAAAGCAAAGGTTGTATAACTAATTGAATGCGCGAGAAGCTTATATCAAAGGGAACAATTTAGCTAAGATCAGCTTGGCCAAAAAGATTCAGAACCTTAGTTCATAAATAATGAAAGGGTTCATGGTATTGAAGGTATTTATGCAAAAGAGAAAAAAGTTGCAAAAATGTAGAGATATGCATTTTGGTGAAAAAATGATTATATTTGTTTTATTATCCTGATGTTTACCACTAAATCAACTAATGTAAAATCTGTCGTACTTTCATTGTTTTACATTTCCGCCATGTTTACATCCTGAAATCCTCATAAACGAATATATTTTGTCGTTTTTTTTTTGTTACACGTATTCAATAAAAGTGTTGTTTCTGAAAACAATGACCGTTTTTATGTGATATGCATTTCAAATTTTTCACATGTCTAACGAAAAGTCCGTTTTTATGGAAAACATTGACAGTCACACTTATCGTTCGTTACTTGGATCTCATAAAATATCTCTATGACTATTTCAAAAAGGAGATTAAAAGTTATTTTAACAATAACAATACTCAAATGGTTTCTTATAAACGGCACATTTCTGTTAAATCCTTTATTTGAATGTGGATGTTTATTGAATTTGACGAAAGTGATTAAACCATATTGGTTTAGACATTACCCGAAGCGTAAACTATCACAGGGACGCTACATACATACACTGCATGACAAAGCCTTTCTTTGAAATGTATTTGCTTTAATCTTTTGGCTTAGGTTGTTTTTTCAATGTCAATTTCTGAAGTACTGATACCAAATATATTATTGTATAACGCACAATAAAGACTTTCATATCATGTTTCAGCATTTTTTACAAAATGTTCACTCATCTAACTAATAAATTTATGTTTGTTGTTTAGAACACAGTTGTTTGATAATCATAGAAACAATGTTTAGAGTAAATTACCAATAAATGTCATTTTAACCGAAATTTAATGTAAAAGTAAAAGTTTTCAGAACAGATATTCCTGAAAACTACATGTTCAACCTTCCAACATTTTTGAGAAAAAGAGAAGGCCAATCATTGAAATTGAATAGTTAAATCATCTATAAAACTTTATAGCTTCATACTGACAAATTTTCAACTGCCAGTAGAATTTTTTTTTAAACCAATTGATTCTGTAGGAGGACAAAGCTTTTCAAATAAGCATAGTAGTGCTTAATGCGTTTTTGAATACTATTTTAACAATGAACATTATCATACATGATATTGATTCTTTTATTGCATAGAAGTACAAAGTCTAACAAGAGATCAGTCTGTAAGAAACAAGTGGTTAAGAGAGTAAAGATTTAAAACTACTAAAAGGAAATGTGGAAAAGGAAAGAATAATAACCGTAGTGTACTCTGGTTGTGTCAGTTTTCTTTAGATGAGTAAAATCACTAAGAATAATAACAGAAGTGTACTCTGGTTGTGTCAGTTTTCTTTAGATGAGTAAAATCACTAAGAATAATAACAGAAGTGTACTCTGGTTGTGTCAGTTTTCTTTAGATGAGTAAAATCACTAAGAATAATAACAGAAGTGTACTCTGGTTGTGTCAGTTTTCTTTAGATGAGTAAAATCACTAAGAATAATAACCGTAGTGTACTCTGGTTGTGTCAGTTTTCTTTAGATTAGTAAAATCACTAAGAATAATAACAGAAGTGTACTCTGGTTGTGTCAGTTTTCTTTAAATGAGTAAAATCACTAAGAATAATAACAGAAGTGTACTCTGGTTGTGTCAGTTTTCTTTAGATGAGTAAAATCACTAAGAATAATAACCGTAGTGTACTCTGGTTGTGTCAGTTTTCTTTAGATGAGTAAAATCACTAAGAATAATAACAGAAGTGTACTCTGGTTGTGTCAGTTTTCTTTAGATGAGTAAAATCACTAAGAATAATAACAGAAGTGTACTCTGGTTGTGTCAGTTTTCTTTAGATGAGTAAAATCACTAAGAATGATAACCGTAGTGTACTCTGGTTGTGTCAGTTTTCTTTAGATGAGTAAAATCACTAAGAATAATAACAGAAGTGTACTCTGGTTGTGTCAGTTTTCTTTAGATGAGTAAAATCACTAAGAATAATAACAGAAGTGTACTCTGGTTGTGTCAGTTTTCTTTAGATGAGTAAAATCACTAAAAATAATAACAGAAGTGTACTCTGGTTGTGTCAGTTTTCTTTGGATGAGTAAAATCACTAAGAATAATAACAGAAGTGTACTCTGGTTGTGTCAGTTTTCTTTGGATGTCTCCCACTATCGGCACTGTTGTTATGGCTATCCTCGTCATCTGTCTTCACAAATTCTTTACGGACACTCATTCCACGTACACGCTGGCATATTGATGATGTGTACTGGTACAAATAGAAGGGCTCACTTGTTGGTAATCTTATTCTACTGTAGACAGAGCCATCAGATCTATTTAACAAAGATACAATAATGTGAAATCATATTAGATTTCCAAAATTTTGGTCGTGATGCTGCACTATAGATGATGCACATTACTGTCATTTAGCGATAAATTAGATTTCCGGTTAAACTTTATATTAAACATCGTTTTATGTTCTCCTGCATATAAAATGTCTTCATATCGATATCAATTTGTAATAAGGGATGTATACGTTAAAACCTTAAAATGTAAGTAAGAAGAAAGGTAAAGAAGACAACTTGAGATGTGCACGTCATTTGAACTCTGTCGGATAATTATCTCAATGGCAATCATACCATATCTTCTTATTTCTTTTATAAATAACAAAAATAATAAAGTATTAACACAAAGTCAAAAAAATAAGATAAAGATAAATTTCTACAAAAAAATGTTTTAAATAATGTTGTACCTGCAACAGAAGTATATTCTTGTGTTCCTATCAAAGGTTCCATCTGGAAGAACACCATTTTTTGAATTTGCATTGGCGTGGTCTTCGTCATCCCAGTATATACTGCCAGTGCTAAATCCTATTCAAAGAGATTTTATCAAAATCATTATATTTGGTAATATTAAAGAATCTGAGAAAGCTGAAAGATAAATTCACGTGTGAACTTTGAATTGTCTGTTCAATTATATTTTGATACGAATGTTCTGTTTCTATAGGTTTTTATTGGATAATTCCTGTTTATTTTTGGTATAACGAGTTATCAAATCAAAAATTAAATAAGAAATATTTAATACCATTTCAAGCTCTAGGACATCTGCAGGAATATAACTTTTATGGTAATAGTATCGAAATTTACCAACTTTACTGAACTGAATGAGCATTTCGAAAATAATGGTCTCTTTAGTGATGTCCAAAATATTTGAAACAAAAACATAAAAGAAACATTGTAGAGCTGATATAATCGAAAAAGGAAACGAGACAACACATTAACAGTTTTTTACCCCTGAGTCGACGCCACTGGCTCTTCTGATTCACTGATATGGTCATATTCATAAATCAACTGGTTACTTAACTTTGAATTGTTCCAAATACTAAGATTTTTCTACCGCTTTAATACTGTACTTAGCTGGGACATAAATAATCAATGAAATATCACTTCCGAAAACCAATAAAAACTACAGACTTACCTGAAGGACAGGCATCACTTTTTCTGGCAATACAATAATTTCCACGTGGCCAGGATCCTGATCCACTGTGTGTTGTTTTTGTACAATAACACAGTTTCGTGTTTCTGCCAAAAATACCTGGTAGTATATAACAGTAAGTTGTATATGCATATCTATAACATTATTTTAAAGTTAACTAGGCAGTGTCACGTGTATGTTCACAACTGTCTTTCGAGTCATATCATGCTTTTATGTTTTCCGAGACTTCCATTTTTCATGCATTCTTGTAGACGTTTGTCTGTGGTCATTTTTTCATATAGACAAAGTAAATTTGTATTCTTGTCTTTCATTTTTGCTTTGTACCTTGTCTATATGCCATGACTGCTGTACCCCTATTTTTGAAATTGTTACCTTTTATCTCTGTTTGTTTTGTTCACCTATTGTTGTCAATATAATGGAATTTTATACGACTGTCATACAATTGAGAGGTTTAGCTAGCTATAAAACCAGGTTTAATCCACCATTTTCTACATAAGGAAATGCCTGTACCAAGTCAGGAATACGACAGTTGTTTTCCATTCGTTGATGTGTATGAGATTTTGATTTTTCCATTTGATAAGGGACTTTCCGATTTGAATTTTCCTTGGAGTTTGGTATTTTTGTTATTTTACTTTTTTGTATGATTCAAAATAACTCAGATGCGCAGAATTCAATGTGACTTTGCCAGCTCACAAATACAAAACGAAGAGCACTTATACTGTCATAAACAACTAGCAAAGATAGCTTTTTTAAAAGACTGTAGGACATTTTGTCTAAAGATATGGTTAGTTTGAACAGTTAAAATAGTACAAATAAACACATTGTCGATAAATCATTCAAATGCCAATTCTAAAAAAAAATATACTTCGATCTTTTTAATGTGTTATTGTATGTGTTGTTGTATGTTAGATTGCTATATCATTGAAGTATGCATTGATATATACTAGAATACATATTTGTTTAGGGGCCAGCTGAAGGACGCCTCCGGGTTCGGGAGCTTCTCGCTGCATTGCAGACCCATTGGTGGCCTTCGGCTGTTGTCTGCTCTATGGTCGGGTTGTTGTCTCTTTGACACATTCCCCATTTCCATTCTCAATTTTATTGAATATGCCTTGAACAGTACCTATTATCGTTTCACAGATTAGAAGTTTATAAGACCACAAAACAACTAATACATTGATCTTACCATTGAAGTGATGGTTGTATCTGACATCGTTCACATTATGTGTGTCTTCATTATCCTGATATCTACATCCTTCTGCCCATCCGAGCGGGCATCCTGATTGCGATTTTGGAAGCGAGTAACTTCCACTTGGCCAGCTCACTTAAAATGAGTATAGATGGTTATAAATGCAGCAATATACAACTAACTGTAAAATTACATTTCATCAAATTATAAGCCTGGTATCGGTGGTGAGTTTTTCATCCACATGATTATATCGCTAAATTGATATTCACTGAGGTTTTAACTATTTTGTAAACACGTTTATTGCATTCAAATTATTATGTTGTTTGATTAATTTATGAATTAGTTACTTGCTTAAAATATAAAAGTGAAATTTTATGACGTGTATAAATTACAACACAAGAATTGAAAACATAAAACAGAATTACCTAAATCTTTTCTTTTTTGATAGACTCTAGATATAACTATTAATGAACCACTAAATTCTTGACTTATATATATCCTTTTACATTTTTAATGGCATATAAGTAATTTCAAAGGGAAATTTTTGAGATAAAGGACATCATCAATATATAATAAAAAGTGAAATGTTATGATTCTGTCAAATGATTTTTTTTCTGTGAAAATTATTGTACAATATACATATATCAAATAAGGTGCATCAATATAAAGCTCCTAATATTAGGGGAAATGTACAAAACATACCTGCGCAAGCAGATGCAATCATCAAGAACAGAATACACATGTTCCCCATCTTGATTTGTCCTATCTGATCTGTAAAAAGTAAAATGTCTTTATTAAATATTTTACTCTTTGTGTATAAAATGCAAATCAGTTTTTGTTTCAACACGACGGTTGCCACACGTGGGGCAGAATCTGCCTATCCTTCCGGAGCACATGAGATCACCACAGGTATCGGATGCGGTTCTCAATGCTCAGTCTTTTTTTTTTTGCCGTAATTTTGTTGGTCTGTCTTCAACTTATGAGGTTGATTCTTCATCTGATGGCTTCCGCCTCTTTCTTTTTTTTAAAGTCGAATATCTCTCAAGGGAAAAAATAAGTGTGTTTGTTGAAAAATTCAGATATCTTAATATCTCAATGCTCTACAACTCCCTATTTTATTTGGCCTTTTTAACTTTAAGCGTCACTGATGAGTATTTTGTAGACGAAACGCGCGTCTGGAGTACAAATTTTAATCCTGGTATCTATGATAAGTGTTAAAATTGATATAGATAAGACGCTTTATGAGCTGAAGCTTGCAATACGATCTTATTTAACATTTTAAAACATTAAGATACATACTTCAGATAATTTGGTCTTTAGCAATCTATCCACTGACTTCACTTGAAAGAAGGATGCTTCTTAATGTTAAGTTTTAATCAATTATATATCAGCGGAAATACAACTGACTATATAAATCGATGTATAAACTACAAGTACACTTTTGGTTTAAATGACATTATATGTACTGCGTAAAATTAATGCAACAAAAATACACACAACAATTACTTTAGGTATTCTTTATATATAAAACACATATTAAAAAGAAGGAGAAATATATATCTCTAGACAATAAATTATATTCCAAAGGATGATTTTGGTTTGAAAATAATAAACATAAACATATCTAATTGTGCGCAAATTTGTAAGTAAACAGTATTTGATTACATGTTTATTTTTCAAATCATTCCAGGAGCATGAACATTTTCACATTATGAGTGTCTTATACAGTTTGGAATGGCTTAGAGGGTTGCCGATTAGCATGAAGGTATTTTTTTTATGTTTTTGCATTGACTGCTATAAAATTTTCTGCAAACATGGCAATAATCAAACTCCATAGTATATCCACATTTATCTCTACCTTGAAATTTTCATTATTTATGTTCATTATGTTTTTGTTTTATTATGCATCATTGTGTTTTAATTTTTCAACTTAATACCTGTGTTGTAGTTGTTAAAAGGTTTAACTTAGTTGTTTAATATTTCTTTCTTTTTGGATTTAAATCTGTTGCTTGTCTTGTGTTAGTGATTAAATGTTAGTTATATATGTTTCATATATTCAGATAAAAGCTGGATAGAGCTGGTGTTTTATTATTTTATTCATTCCGCATCAAAATAATGTTATTTTTGTTTGATCTTATTTAATAATTTCTTAATGTTATCCATTTGTATTCTGTTTATTAGAATCAGGCGTTTGGAGCATGGACCACATTTTTTTCTATTACATATATTTATATATCATTTAGGTTTAATGTTTTTATTCAATGGTTAATACTATCTCAACCTTACATCAGTTTTGTCTATTGACGAAGATTGATCCAGTTATATGGCATCTTATGTGAAAACAATGGAATCATATCGACCGAATTGTTCCTTTCTCTCCAGTTCCGTTTAAAACACGAGGAAGGGACACATAAACCACCAGTAGCTCAGAGGGAGTCAAAAGAGATTGATTCAAAGACGAGAAAGGAAGATGTTTTTTCTAAGCCTCTACGGTTGATAAGAAGTCTCAGTGTTAATGCAAGGGCAATTCATATGACAGATGATCTGTTTGAACAGTTATAAGGTTTTCAAAGGTATTCATGCAAACGACAAAAAAAAAAAACGATTTGTTTGCGCACATTTACATATTTAGAAAGAAAAAGTTAAACGACTTTATTTTCAAACTTGGGGTTACTATTTACTGTTTTGATTGTGTTCCAAATTGTTTTTAATTTCCGCTTATTGTACATCCTGATACTTAGTCATATTTCATGTCGTTTTATTTTATTGAATGTATTTAATTAAAGTGTTGTTTTTAAAACAATGAACGTTTTATATGAATAATAGGGGATGCTGTAGCAACCGAAAGACAAAAAAATTTCAACGACATCTAGAGATCAACATGAAGTTTTAACAATAAACAGAGGTTTATTAATATGCAAGCTCTAAATTGCCTTTTGAAAGAGTCTTTAGTAATTGTGAATATATTTAACAGAATAAATCAGCACCAAATCCTCCAAAATAACAAAAAATATGTATATCAAACATTACTTACATTAACAACAAAATAGGGTCAGATAGAGTGTATAGAAAATCATTGCAGCCACGGTTTCGTTATTTGACAACTCTTGAGGTATCATTAATAAGAGAGGCGAAAGATACATACAAAAATTACAATGAGGGAGGGTTAAGAACAAAACATGATGAGTCCTGCTTTTTCTCGAATGTTACATCCCCGAATTTGTACTGACAATGAGTAGCACTAAAAGTGCTACGAATGGAGCAGGATGGGCATAGCCTTCCAAAGCAGATCACCCCTAGTTTTTGGTGGGGTTCATTTGGTTTAGTCCTTTGTTTTTCTACATAGTGTTTTGTGTTCATTTGGCTTAGTCCTTTGTTTTTCTATATAGTGTTTTGTGTTCATTTGGCTTAGTCCTTTGTTTTTCTATATAGTGTTTTGTGTTCATTTAGCTTAGTGCTTTGTTTTTCTATATAGTGTTTTGTGATTTTGTTTGTCTTTTCTATATACTAGTAGTGTTTTGTGATTTTGTTTGTCTTTTCTATATAGTGTTTTGTGATTTTGTTTGTCTTTTCTATATCGTGTTTTGTGATTTTGTTTGTCTTTTCTATATAGTGTTTTGTGATTTTGTTTGTCTTTTATATATAGTGTTTTGTGATTTTGTTTGTCTTTTCTATATAGTGTTTTGTGTTCATTTGGCTTAGTTTGTCTTTTCGTCATCTTTCTCTTTTTTGACATGTTTCCCTCCCTCGACTTATGAGTTTTAAATGTCCACTTAGTATCTTCTTCATCATTTATACAATAACAATAAAACCAATATGACAGGCTTCTCATACAGATCACGTGGTACGATTTCTGTTTTCGTTTAGCAAGTTTAGATATTGTGGAGGATCAATTGTTCATAGTTTACTATCAAATTTACTCTCTTGGATTCATATAGAATATACCAAGTTTTCACATAGAAAGATTTATTGATGATCTAAAATTACTTTTACATAAAATATTTTATGTATTTGTACTTCTTTTTGGTAAATTACATTATTAAAGATTTTTTTATTCGATCACTTATTTCCTTAGTTTGCAAGTAAAAAAACTTTGAAATTTATAACAGTTAAAAAAATATTGTTCATACAGCCTAAAACATAAAAGGTTTCGATCCGTTGCTGCATAGAAAGTCGATAAAAAACGATGATTTTCAAATAAAATTATCAAATATATTTTCCAGATCCGTGAGTAAATACGTTAAACTTAGACACACAGACCATTGTTTTGTGTATTTTAATTATATGCAAGACGAAATGCAAAATTTTCTCCAAAAAAACAATGTAAAATAGCTTTCTATCTTTTAATTTTGTATTATTTGTGTATCGGTCAGCTTGCATTCTCTATTGTGTATTCTCGGGATTTTTAACTGATGAATGAAGAAATTCCAATGTTAATGATTTTGAAGTTAATAAAACTTTGTCCAGATTAAAAGCTGAAAATCAATTAAACGAATTCAATACACGAGTATACAGTTAATGTCCATGCCGTACGAAATAGTCACCCGGGTATAAGCAGTTTAATACGGGGATACATGTGTATATTCCCGGCAAATAACGACAATTACCAAATTCGTTTTTTATGTATACATGCTAAGAAGATACATGTATGTATATTGTATAATAATTACAACTGTACATTACTGCTTTTGTTTATAATTTTATTCAACAAATTTCGAATGTCCAGGTGATATCTACATGCCGTGTGCAGAATGTTGCCCCTCCCCTGCATACAATATATTGTATACACTTTCTCGATAAAGTACAAATTAAGTAAAATATAAATTCAAGGGTAAACAAATAGCGAAATTTGAAGAAATCGATTCAATAATATGGGTAAAACAATTTTAAAGCATCAAGCTTAAATCATAAGTCCTTGCTCTGATCACCCTTTTTACACTCAAACATAATCCACGAAAAGGCAATTAGTTGCAATTTATCTGCTGTAAACAAAGAGACTATGGTGTTACGGTTCAAATTCGATGTTATATGAACCACACGTCTTTGCTGATTACAATACGATACTTGACAATGAAACTGCAGCGACAAAATGAATAAGTGGTTCCATAAACAACACGAATTCAGACGTAAATACTGGTAACTAAAATACTAATTTTTAAAACGATTATATTAAAATAAGAAGATGTGGTAAGATTGCCAAAGAGACAATTCTCCACAAGAGGCCAAATGACATAAAAAAGGCCAACAATAGGTGATTGTACGGGATGTTAAGGCAAGGCAAAGATATGATCACACCTGCCATTTATCATTTATCTTTTATTACAATGACACACAGTTTAAAATAACACAGACCAAATAACAGAACAGTCCAGTAGGAACTCAAGCTTATGTAATACGTCGAAAGATTTTAAACTAGAATAAAAGGTATCATATCACTCCGTTGTAGAAGCATTGTTAGGAGGATAGTTACAATGGGTGTACAGTCTCCTATGAATAATAACAGTAGTACAGTTTGGTTGTGTCTGTTTTCTTTGGATGACATCCGCTATCGCCACTGTTGTTTCTGTTGTCCTCGTAATCTGTCCGATTTTTCACGTACATGTTGGCATGTCGAGGTGAACTTGTACATATATAAAGGCTTACATGTTTGTAGGTTGATGTAACTGTAGGAAGATCTATCAGACCTATAATAAAAATATAATTACTCCTGGTCAAATGAAGTTAACTTGACCTATATCTGAACATAAACAGATTGTTCTATTTTTTCGTTGTAAAGTCGTGTAGTATCTATTAAGCTTACAAAATTTATTTCATTTTTATTTTCATTCATTTTTCATTCGTACGTGTAGACTGAATAACCACCACCACCACCAAACCCCCGGTCACTTTACTCACATATTCTGCTGATATACATGAACTAATTATTAATGTTTAGATAAAGTAACTGGCAATAGATACAGGTTTCTTTAAAACTCAAATACTACACCTAGCGCTAGCATTTGTTCTACAATAAATGACCGTTCAATTATTTACATTTCATAATAAAGTTCCTAGGGGGAAGATACTAGCTCTATTGTAAGAAAACACTGACCCTTTTGTAATCTTTTCTTATGTGAAATGAAATGTACTTTTTTAAGTTTCTATTTTTTAAAATTTATATAGAGGGGCAGCTTATAAGATGTAAAAAGGGAGAGGAATCAGGTCTAGAGTACTTTGTTTTTTGTCTGAGGAACCCTATGTATTTAGTGAAGATTTAAAAAAAAACTAAACTTTTTTTTAAGATGACAAAAATTCAAAAGTGAGAATCAATAGAAACAAAGGTTAGGGAAACAATCTTTTGATTTATCATGTACATGCAAATCAAGTTACCCGTCAGCATTGTCAGTTAAATGTAATTTCTGTGAAAACACTTTACAAAGTGGCATTAACTTACA